AATGTCAGTAATGAGCAAGACATTCCTTTGGGGAAATGGCTGTTAAAAAAAATCCAGTCTGTATATGCAAAGTAAGCAAGGAAATTCAGTCTTTTCTTCTTCTTTAAAAATCCGTTACTCCTAAAATATCATTCCACAAAATTGGAAGTGAAGGACTAAAGGTCAGGAGAGGGAAGAGATGGGGAGGGAGCACACACCATTAACACAAAATGAAAGTAAAATTGTACAAACTTAAGCAGTTTATAACAGACTAGGATCATACTCCAAGATACCAAAGGCTGGCTGAAGAAATTCACCATTCTGCAGGAGTTAGGGTGTGAACTGCTGTGTGAAGATCAGTGAAGAGCAATTCACTGCCTTGGAGCAATCCCCCTTCCCACTCCAAATCCTGGTTTCTGCACAATGCCTCCACGGGGAGGGCCTCTCATTCCACCACCCAGCCCACCTCGAGGGTCTCCAGGTCCCCACACGTGGTTATCTCGACGGTCCCCTTCCCTGGCAGCTCAAGTCTTCTTCTCTTCCACATTCAGACGGACCTCACCTCTGAACATGATGGGCCTGTTGCTAAGGACTTTCTGAACAGGCTCAGAATCATCAAACACAACAAAACCAAAATTGGGTAACTTCCCACCACTGTTAATGTGCAGCTCCACCACATTCCCATAGCTTTGAAAGAAATCTTTAAGCTCTGATTTGTCCACCTCATGAGGCAGGTTGCCAATGAAAAGTTGATGACTGTCAGGGTGTCTCATAATTCTTCGGAGTTCAACATCACCTTGCTCACCAGCCTCACGAATTGGTCTGGGGCCTCTCTGGGGAGGAATATTTATTCATTGTTCTCAAACTCTTTGATCCCTCTGAGGTCTCCATGGTGGAATCTGAGATTCAGGCTTAGACTCTGGATGAGGCTGTGAATCTGGTACTTTAACAACATGAGGTGGTATCCCAGTAACCAGAACAGCTCCACTGGGTGGAAGGTTCTTACTGGTCACAGATGCCAAAGGAAAAGTCTTCAAGTCTTCCTAAACTGTTTGAGCTATGTCTGCAGGTGCTGGAGAAGAACTCTTCTGAGTATCCTCAGGAGAAGTTTCTTCTAATACTGGCTCAGACTTTTCCTCTTGGATTTCAGATACAGGTTCTTGCTCTGGTTCTGGTTCAGGATCAGGCTCTGGTTCAGCAACAGGCTCCTCTAAATGTTCTTCCATGTCATTACTGACAACAGTCTGATCATAGAAAGTTCCAGAATCATCAATAACCACTTTAGGCATCTGCTGTCTTTCTTCAGGTTCCGCTACTTCTTCCTCAGATTCCTCCCGAGGCTCAGTGACAAAGCCAACAAAGACCTCATCTTGGTATCTGAAGATATCATTGTGAACATAGAACTTATTTGCAACAGAGCCCTCAGGAGCAAGGACAGACGTCTGCATGAATCTCCTCAAAGCCTGGTTGTTATTAGAGAGAAGCCCCATCACCTGGACCACCACAGCATCATTCAGAGTGGCATGAGCATCAACATGGCGAATCTTGGTGTGGCAGTTGGCGAAGTTTTGTGACATCACTTTCCTATGGATTTCCTATATAGCATGTCTGGGGCCTGGTTCAGCAGTGTATAATACTGTCTCACAAATTCCTGCCTGACCAGCAGGGGACTAGGCTTCTCTATCACCATTGCTTTGGTCAATTCAACCTGTGCAACAGAGCGGAAGAGGAACAAGCTTTGCTCC